CCATCATGTGCTTCAAATTGTGGTACTTCAAGATTTTTAACTTGTCAGGGCGGGGTATGTGTTGCACGATCCGCTAGCGACATAGGAGAGGAGACATCCGCTCAAGTTATGGATGCAACAGCTTTCTTTGGCGGTGCAGTAACTGAAGAGGGACCAGAGCCGGCTGTGCCGTTCCAAGTCTCATTTGTTGATCCTAGAACTATAAATGGTAATGGAATGACTGGGACAGCGGAGGGAAATACTGCAGGAGTTGTACCCTTTCAAATAAGAAATAAATAACAAGTTTAAAAACTTCTCTGGGAAATGAAGTGGGTCGGTCACGTGATCAAATCCTGTGAAGGCCGAAGGCCTTCTCAGAAGATTTGATCAGTACCGACCCACTTCATTTCCCAGTGAAGTTTTTAAACTTGTTATTTATTACTTATATATACATTTGAGACGGACAATCGAATATAATCGAATATAAATATTGCACTAACTGTTCGTCGTAGATTTTGACAAATTATGCAAGGTGTAAATCGGCTTGAAAAGCGGTTACGCTTCAAATTCATCTGGCAACGGATTCTGTTTTGAAGGGAATATTCTGTGAAAGGCTACTTGTGATCAATTATAGTGAGCATATTGGTGTTTGAGAATTTTTGTATTCATGAGAACCCATATATTCGATGTTAAAAATCGCAAGAAACACGTCCGATGTTTGATAATAAAAAGTTGGAGGAATTTCGGTCGGAAAGGGATGGATGGAGACACTTGTCCGGACCAGTTAACTTGAAATCAAGTAAAAAAAAATTGATCAGAAACATAAAATCTACGATTTCAGTAAAGCATATTTATTATGATGTTGACACGGAGACACTGGCGACAGCTTAGGACAACGATCTCGATGATGGAGGTGCGCCTACCGAACTTCCGAATTGCAGTGTTTGTCAGCTGTTTGTGGCGTGATTGCATTACACTGATATTTTCCAACAAATTTTTAAATTTATTGTGAGTAAAGTTTTAACGAATAAAAATTATAGCATTCAGAGGTCTACAAGAAAAATAAGGGTAAACGTTGAGACTATGCAGCTCAGAGATGAAACTTATAACACGTAGTTTTCTATTCTCTATGTAAAATCGATCAAGAACTGTATTAATCACTCGTTTACATTGTAAATAAAATGATTGTTATTTTACTTGAGTATTTTGTATATTTTTATGCATGAAAAACATGCTATATTGCGAAGTAGAGTAAGTCCTTTTATGTATATATTCTTGCGCTGTGTGATTAGGTCATGTAATGACCTATGACCTTCCAGAAACTTCATACAGGTATGAAGATATTTGCTCTCTGTATGTTTATATAATAGAGAGATACCACAAATGTATATATTCCTTTATGAATGATCCAATGTCGGGGAACGGCAACATAAGAAATAGAGCAGGTCTTAGCGTAGGAGCTCCTGTTGGATCTTTGCAAGGTATTCGCAGTCTCAATAATGGCGTTTTACCTAATAACTTTGACGGCAGCTCTCCTTTGACAAACTTTGGAAATCCATCTACTCCTGGTTTTGTGGGAACGGGTGGTCAGAACTTTGGAACCAGAAGTATGTTAGGTTCAAGAGATTTAATCCGTCGTTTTGGTTATAATGCATTAGCGTTGCTGTCAGGAACCAAAAACAGGTTTGCCTTTACTAGGCAATCTGGAAATCTCCCACATAAAAGTTTATTTGCTTCACCCAATAGTCCAATCAGACATCTTTGGGATCCAAATACACAACACATTAACACCCAAACAAGGAGTATAGGTATACCTTCCCAAATTCACAGTAGCCCTTTCAATCTTGAAGATGTTCGTAGAATGGTTCATCTTCATGATATCCCGATTCAGAATACTTTTACTTTGGACGGCATTTCTGACATTCGTCGTTGGGTTTTCATCCCAGTTCGTATTGTTTATATGAGACCTCCAGGGAATTACTTCGGATCATGAATCGTGCGTAACTCTCATATTGTACAACATGTTGACATGTACTCCCCTCAGGCATACCCCGAGTTCATGAATATTTCACCAAAAATATCACCTGCTACCTACCCTAATTGTTACAAAATTAAAACCTTGGAGGGTCGTCGAGAGTGTTTGTACAGCCTGATGGATTTTCATATCGAGGAACATATATGGACTATGCAATTATAGATGAAAGACAACCAATGTCAGAAGCCATCTCCCATGTTGCTGTGAAGAATCCTGACTTAGGAGCTGCGCAGATCTAACTTACAGCCTCCGATTCTTGTGGTCGAGTCTGTCAGCCTCGTTGCCTAATTCCAGGTTCGAATCCGCCAGCTTACCGACCATGTTCAGGTGTTGTAAATCTCACAAATCAATCACCGCGTATGTATGGGCGAACGTATGGAGAAGCTGTAAGAAACAAGTGGAACTTCGGCGATAAAAACTGCCCATCAAGTTACGGAGGGGAAATTTTTATGACATTTTACTGCGACTATGAAAACGTTTGGCCGTGGAAAAGTTGCAACAGGGGAACACAAAAGATATTCCCACACTATGGCAAATAGTGTTGTACCAAAAATCGATTTCATGGTATCAGCACTTTTACAGATATGGAATACATGGGAACTAAATAAAAGGTTGATAAATTATTAAGTTGTTCTTATTGAACCTGAAATTGTAATATGATATTCCTGGTCTCAACAACATACAGAGGACAGTCTGTAGTTGACACCTATTATGCAAATGTTTATAGAAAACTTTTCACCAAGAACACTAATAAATGTTGTCATTCTTTAAAACAGAAATTTTTGTAAAATTTTTTATAGTTGCAAATAAACACATAGGTTGTACTCAATTCAAAATTAAACACCGCAAATTAAACAAGTTAAAAGGGGACTGCCAAACAAACCATGAATCCCTACAGTTGTATGTAGTAGTTTCCTTACATGCATCAAAGAATTTATTTTATTTTTCAAATCAACGCAATCGGAATAAGTTAATGTATATTTTTTTTCGAATAGTTGCAGGGAATATTCTGCATATAGAGTACAACAAGACAACAATATGTACAAGCACACTACATTACCAAATAAGTCCAGACCTAAGGCTCAACAATGGGCTCAGGAGTCATGAATTTTACATTCATTTTTGGTGAGGGATTAAAATCTTTAAATTATCAAGTAAACTGTTTGCCTGTTAGATGTTCGTGGATAAAGAAGATTTTACACCATTTAATGCGTTTCCAAACAAGATCTAGAGACCCAAGGGCCTTAAAATTAACGGTCATCTGAGTATGATACAACCCTGCAAGACCACATAAAATTAATATTTAGAATCTCATCGTAATTTTAAAAAATATGGATTGATATTATTTTCAACTATTTAAAAACATATACATGTATTTCATGTTCTTTTTAACTGCTTTTTTGCATCGTTTATGCTAATATGATTATAAAAACCAATTTCTAATCTTTTAATTTCATTTATTTCCTCTTAACTGTTAATTTAATTTTTACATTTCAAGCATGGCGGGTAATCATCACCAGATGCCTGAATACCCTCATCATCGTCACAATAATAAGAAATAGGTTCAAATCCTGCAGAAAAATAGGGAATTTCAATAGGACCACTGCACTTAAGATTTCTTCTGACTTTTTTTTTTCAAAACACGAGTCTCCTCACATTCATGATCAATAAACTAGGCCCAAATGAATATTCTAAATCATTCAAAAATCTCTGTAACTGTGTTTTTGAAGTACCTCTGCCAACAGTTTCACAATAAAGTACAATGTACTCTTGGTTTTTCACACTGACTACATATCCGGGGAATGGAAAATATTTATATAATAAAACAAAATAAACCGAAACTCAAAAACAAGAGAAAGAGAAATGATCATGGATCAACAAATTAGTTAGTCTGGTATCCAGCAGCATCTCGGAAACTTGCCTGTCTCTGTCCATGTTATCTTCAATTTTTTGCGTTTCCAGGGAGACCATGACAAAAACAGATAGCAATAGGCCACGTGAGTGACCTAGATGACTTAAAATGCTAGACGATTCAACAATTTTACCCACAAAGATTTACAAGGTTAAATACACAATTTCAAAAATCCCAATTTTGGGGTGACATTGGCCTTTGAAAAGTTTTCCAGCTACATGACGAACAAAAGTCCCATCATCTTGACATTTTCAATAGAATTGCCTGATTATATGAAAAGTGCTAATAGTCTTGATTTGAGCTGTACTATATGAGGGATTTAGCAAAGCAATTTGACAACTTGTATCTTTTATTGTTCTTAAAAAGATGAAACTTTAAGAACCTTTCGATATTGACAATTTCAAGATTTGTTGTTCTTTAAAAGAGGACTCTAAAAGAATTCTGATAAATCGCTATCTGAAATTCCAGTTCTTTGTTACCGGTTCTCCAATCCACCACAGGGGTCATGATATAAAATAATTTAATTCCATGCAAAATTATGTTTTTAATACTTGTTACTGACTTAAAAATTTGCTAATATTAAAAAAAAAGTCTCCTACAATGATATATGACCTTCTTTGGGGGTATGATTTGAACACAGTTGATTGTACACTCTAGATGAGAATTCTAGCTGGTTAACATCTCTCAACATGACTCCATGTCCTCGGGCAGATTGTTTTTCTAAATTAAACTCAAAAGATTGTTTTTCAATATCTTTTTATGTAAAACTCTGAAGCCCTGTTTTGCCCTCATCTCGATTGGCCCTATAAGGTATAAGGGAGCTTCGACGCTCTGAATTTTAGTGGTTGTAGAGAAAAGGAGTGTTTCTTTTTTTATTTGTATGTTACTGATAATCCATAGCAAGAAATGACTTTATTCAAAGTTTATTTATATATAAAAAAGATATTTTGTATCATACATGTATATCATTCACATTATTCTTCCGGCGATCGATCATTAATTGCATTTCTATCGATAAACATGAAAAAAAAATCAGATGTTTTTATTGTGCTGTTGTTCGAATTTAACAGAAGTCTACTCCTCAACGTAGTTTGGAGGGTACTGGATTTGTACGGTAGGTGGGCAATTAGGTGTTTGACAACATTTTCCTGCTGCTGGGGGATTCAAGTGGCAAGATTGTGGTAGATTCCATTGTACACAGCTGGAAAATACAATAAAAATTATAAGGATTGAATAAAAATATAGATAAAAGCTTTGTATAATATTTAAGATTATGTGTAGGACATGCAATTTCGTTATGTAACAACTTTTTTAATAATATCTGCTGATTTCTCCCTATAATTTATTTTAAACATATTTCTCCTCTATGAAGCAAATCTTAATTACATAATTTCTCATCATTTCATGGGTAAGCAAATCTAAATAACACTGTGATAATTTCCTATCATTTCATGAACTAGTTCCTATCACGTGGAACCGGATCTTATCAACTCCCTTAATAATTTACCATAATTATCGACTTTTTATATTTAGCCTGTGTTCATGAGCTATCGGACATCAATCTGCACCAAACGTGCCAAATCATATTCCCCCCTAAAATACAGTAAGTATGCAAACAGTAACAGAAAAAGGTGTACGGGTATAACTGTTTTTGACATTTTAAAATTAGAAATTACACCGCATCATAGAGATCATTAGAATGAAAAAATAAACTGAAATATCAGTATATTAAACTCACAGTCCAGTGCATGTATATTTTCCTGTGGTGGCATCAGCGCATGTGCATCTGTATGTACATCCATCCTTCCAGGTCTGTCCCTGTTGGTAAACCTGGCCTTTGTATACACAGCCTAAAATCATTGCAGCACATTGAAAGAATAGTAATTGTTAAGATAACAGTTTCAAACATTAAAGTTACACTAACAAGAATGCGATTTTGACCTTAGTTACAAAATTCAAATACCTCTTTCAAAAGACAAAGAGGTTTAGTGTACGTTATATAAGGATACATTGATATTTCAGGATAATTGTTCTAGTTTGTTTTCTGGCTAGGTATTACGTTGATATACCTGTAGATGTTCCAGTCTTAGTTCCATCGGATCCTGTTCCAGTCATAGTTCCGCCACCGGTCATTGTCCCACCACTTCCGCTTCCTGAGGGATAGTAAACACCACCAGTACCTCCAGTCATTGTGCCACCGCCGGTCATTGTGCCACCGCCGGTCATTGTCCCTCCGCTGGTCATACTTCCACACTGTCCACAGTAAGCTGGGCAGTTCTCCTTGACCCAACCAGCATAGGTAGCGTCAGTACAGACAGCTTTGCCGTAGTTGGCACAGTTGTTTAGTTTATCCGCGCACATACCTATTTATTATTTTTCCAAATGCATTTTCTTTTATTTAATTGTTTTTCATCCAAATGCAATTTTGAAACGAGAAGTCTGTAGCTCTACTGGTCTGTACGTATAACAAAAGAAAAGTAGCACTTGGATTTGAAAATTTGCAGCATGCAACAATAAATAGAATTATGTATCGTAGTGTAGTCTACATGTGTGCCAAGTTATACTAAAATCAGACCAAAATTGTAGGAGGAGTAACGTTTTATGGGAATTTCACAAAAATTTCTATTTTAAGTAATCATGGCAACACTGTTCATCGAATTCAAAAACCCATGCATTAAATTATGTATCTTAGTATAGTCTTGTTGTATGCCTAATTATATTAAAAGCAGGCTAAAACTGTAGCAGGAGTAGCGTTTTAAAGTAATTTCACAGAAATTTCTATTTTTAGTAACCATGACAACACCGTTCATCGAAATAAAAAAAAACCGATGAAGTAAATTATGTATCTTAGTGTAGTCTACTTGTATGCCAAGTTATATTGAAATCAGACCAAAACTGTAGGAGGAGTAGCGTTTTGAAAAATTGCTTACAGACAGACGGACAGACAGACAGACGGACGGACGACGGACACCTTACTATCGCATAAGCTCTTCTGGTCTATGACCAGTAGAGCTAAAAATGACAATGGTCAGATATAAAAAGCATCAATTGATATTTGATATCTCCAGGAGAAGTAGTTATCTGTTATTTCTTTTATATCAGAGAAAAAATATTGGTGATAAATGTTTCTGACATTCTTTTTTGATAAATCATAAAAAGGACATGATATACGTATACTGTTATTACAAAATCAGCGTTAACCTGTCATGCCATCACCAGAAAAGATTTCATAATTTAAAAAAAATACAAATTTGATGGAGCACATTTTCAAAAAAAATTTATGAGTTTGAAAACACATGCCAAACTGGAGTTATATTTAACTCGTTAACGAAAAGAATAAAACGCAAAGTGAAAAAAACAAATTTATAATATCATAGAATTAAATACTTTCTACGCTTATTTTGAAAATAATTCATTATAAAAGAATGTATTTTCTGGGGGGTATTACTCAAAGCTTACCATTGGTACCACCACTGCTGGGACATAAATTGCAATGTTTGGGACAGCTGTCATGAGCAAAAGCGGAATAAGCAGGGTTTGTACAAAAGTTTGTTCCATACTGGACACAATTCACTTTATCAGCACAGTATCCTGAATAAGAGTCCGTAACAACAACAAAGCAAATCGCAGCAAACAGAAGAAAAGCAAAAATGTGAAGAAGCATTTTAAGCAAGGCAAATAACAATAAACCAATCATTTCTTATTTTCAGTTGACTGCAAGCAGAGAATTAGGCAAGTAAAATTATCTAAGTGATCATAAAAAGAGTACTATGAGGACAAAAGCACACACCTGGATCACTTTTCGTACTAAGAAATAAATCTTATTGACCAATACATTTGTTCAATTTCTCCCTAAACTCAAACAAAGGGAAAATAATCAATACTAATCTAATACGCTAAAGGTTAATTTTGACAATATAGATAATATATATAAGGAAATCCTTGAAAGGGTTCTTCACTGTGACTCCCTGTTCAGGAGAATGATTTTAAGTGACCCCATCCTATTATTATTTTTTCGTTTCATTCTGCTCTCATTGCTACAGGTTATCTTTAAATATCAGCGATTAAGTCAATTTAACAAATCACACAGAGGTCTTTTTTCCATGCTGATATTACTTATATTTTGAAAAAAAACTTTTAAAAAATATTTTTTTCATCTAGTCAAGTTTACTCTACAAACATTCTTCAAAGCGAAAACATAGTGGTATTATTTTTTCAATTTTGCAATTTTTGTAAAACTTGGATTTTTTTTTGTTCCTTGAAAAACCTCAATTTTGGAAATTTACATGGTGTTGATATCAAATAGCATCTTTGCAATATATACCACTTAACAGATAAATGCTATATGAATAAACATTCATATATAAAATTTGATTTATCGGTGGAGCAAATATTCTTTTATTAACTTGTTTCAAAAAATTGCAAAATTTCACAAATCACAATTAATTAGAAGCGTATATCGAACAAAAGTGATGTTGCACAACATATGAGCAAAGCTAAACTCGAGGGAGTCGCTGTATTTGAAGCAGAATGCACACCATAAGCAAGATACTTAGCAGAGAAATTTGCAAAAAAGCCGGAACAACATTCGTTTAGCCAGAATTCTGTTTTCTGTGAATTTGAAAATTTCTTCTCAATCCAGTGAGAAACAAAATTCTTAATTTAATTCAGAGGACTTAATTCTTACCGGTCATGGTTCCTGACGAAAGGAAAAAACAAAATTAAATAAGTGAAGAGCATCTGATTTTTTTCTTCATTTTATATGAATGATATTAAGTTCAAAACGACCCTATTAATGATTTTGTGAAATGAATTGTTTATTTTATAAGCCATCTCCGAAGGTTATAGGATTTATAGTAAATTATGCCAATTTATTAATTACGTGAACTTATTAATGATGTGAATTTATTAGAATTCATTTCTTACCTGTTCCTCCAGTCATTGTTCCTCCTGAAAGAAATAATAATATTAATTAATTATACAAAAATGTACATATTTTGCTTTATTTTTGGAGAAGACAAATTTAAGAGAAACATTCACTCCCACACTTTCCTCAACCATCCCCCAAAAGTACCAAAAGCTATATGATCGTATCACATATCAAAGCACCAATGTTGTTGATTTTGCAACTTGAAACTTTTTTCCGATGTAAATTCAGCCAGGCTCATATCCTTTACTGGCTCATATTTGTTGGCTTTACAATTTATTAAAATTATTATGTTTGGCTTATTTTTGCGGATCAAGCAGTTTGTTATATACGTTGACAAGGCTCATATGAGATTAAGCAGTCAAATGATGAATTTATAGAAAAAAAACACTGGACTTACTAAAAAAATTCTCTTTTTAGTAAAAAAAAGAAAGATAAAATCACCTCTGAAAGCATGCTCTCATACACAAAGTAACAAAGCAAAAAAAAAAAAAAAAAAAAAAAAAAAAAAAAAAAAGAGTTCATTTTCATTTTAGAATGAAAGATGAACAGGAAATACTTTTACAATTGTCAGGGAAAAATATAAAACAAGTACCATCATACATTCATCAAATTTTTATGCGTCTTGTGAAATGACCAAAGTTTTACTGTATCTACTTAAAGTCCGAGTAAAGAACTTGTTAATAAAATTCAGACTAAACATATGTCTGGGTAAGGTGCAAAGAAAAAATGCTCAAGCATGTTAGAACGATACATGTAATATAAATACTGTTTACATGGAAATTTTCGCCTTAGTTTTATTTTCGCCCCTTTCGCCCTAATCACAGGTGGGCGAATTTAAAACGGGGCGAATTCAAAGAACATAGAATCAATTCTTAAACAAAACAGTGACTGGGCGAATTTAAAACGGGACAAAATTGCTCGCAAGTGCAAAATGGCGAAAATAATACGGGGCGACAATAGCCCTGTATACAGTATAAATACACCTGTTCTGTATCACCTAGTCTTATAACCGTTTGTGTGGTGTGAAATAACCGATTACAAACAGGACCAAACTTTTCTACCCAGGCAACTTTTAGTTTCTCTGTTATTATTTCTTCTTTGTATTCAAAATATCACTGACATGAAACTTCAAGTCACAGAAAATGTAAAGAATTACAAAATGTATATCAATGGGTGTTGCTTAAGATTTTGGGGGTCGATTTGCTTGACTTTTAGATTTACCTGATCCCCCAGAAACGACAGATCCACCTGAAAACAGAGTACTTTTTTATAATAAACAGAATTCTCCACTTCTAATTCTAGGAAAAGGTAAGTGTTAACGCGTTTTTCAAGAGTTAATCCTTTTTTACATCAGTAAAATTTTTGAAATATTTTTTTGATGAAGAACTTAATCATCAAAATCCTCTTCCAGTTTTTACTAAATTATTATTAAGTTATTCTTTTTTATGTTCAGGCTGTAAGAATGATATTGCAGTTTTATCTCCCACCCCACTCCAACATCATCATACAGCTTTTATTAAATCATTGTCAATTTTGCTTGTTTAGTTTTATAAGATTTGTGTTTACTTGTTTGTTTTTAATCATCTAACAGAAAAAAAAGACAAATCCCTAATCAACAATGCAAAACAAAGAAACACTCTTTAACTTTATAAAAAACAGATTTATCGTCCAGAAATGAGTAGAAAAGGTCCTGTTTAATTAACTGCTAAGTTGGAATCACAAAATCTCTCCAACATACTTAACATGAGAAAACTGAATCAATTAAATCAGCATTTTCAAGCACGTAAACTAACCTAAGATACTGCATATGTAAGAATTTCAATATTTTAAGCATAAAAACTCATCTTATGCTAGGGCAAGGAATTTGTATATCTTACACGGAAACGTGTCTTTAACTAAGGGTTTTTAAAAAACTCTTATGCGTTGTCCAAGCGATAAAAACATAATAAAATATACGTATTAAACTTCCATCTAAAATTTGCAGTTTCATAACGTAAGTATTGATATATGATTTAAATTCTAAATTTTGGAGAATAATTTCTTTAAATTTACAGAAATACTTTGTAAGATTTATCGATTTATTTTCAGTTTTTATTTCACTTTTTTTCTTTTGAAGAACTCTATGAATTACATTTTAGACAATTTAAATTTGAGATTGTAGTATCACTTCTTTTACCTGTACCCCCTGTGCCTCCAGTTCCTGGATACACTACCCCTCCTGGAAATGAGGTTATTTTAATTGAAATGAATCAAAATTTAGAATGAGTATTATTATAGAGAAACGGCATATTTACATGTTGCACTATTATATACTTTTTTTTTTTAAAATTTTAAGGCGAGGGTTTGACGATTTTGATTTACCTGATCCACCAGGAACGACATATCCCCCTGAAAACAGTAAGGAGATTTTTTTTCAACAAAAGGAAATTATTAATTAATTCCCTAAAAATGCTATAGCTAAGACAGCATGGAATTTGTATATTTTACATGAAAAAACCCTCAAGCGTTGTTCAAGCGATTATAATACAAAAAGGCATACCTGTTCCACTTCCATCTAAAATTCACAGTATCATATCGTAAGTTTCCTGCAGAATTTAATTTCTTTGAATTTACAGGAATATTTATAAAGTTAATCTGGCGTACCCTTTTCTTAAGTCTATGAATTAGATTTTAGACATTTAAGTATGAGGATGTACCTGTACCCCCTGTCCCTCCTGTTCCTGTAACCACACCCCCTCCTGGAAATGAGTTTTGTTATTGAATGAATAATAAATAGGAATGGTTAAAATTCAATCAGAAAGGTAAAAAAAAAATAGCGAAATACTGTTGAATAATAATTTCAATTCATTGTTAAAGGTAAGTAAAAAAAATATTACCACAACATGTACAGTATATCAACATGTTTAAGTGAAGATTATGAGGTAAGGTTTGTTTGACATTTTTGATTTACCTGATCCACCAGGTACGACAAATCCCCCTGAAAACGGTAAGTTGATAAATTTTTAAACAAATTAAACAAAAGGATATTCCTAATTCATTTCTTCCCAAAAGTACTTTTTTTTTCTAATAAACTTAGTAAGTTAAAACTTAATCATTAATTGGATGCAGTGCATTGATGCCAACAAGGCTATGCGCTTCTAAAGGAAGAAACATTGATTGATTGATTGCATATTGTTTTACATCCTGTTCGAGAATTTTTCACTCATATAGAGACGTCACCATATACCGTTGAAGGGCTTCAAATTTAGACCTTTACTTGGAAACTGTGCTTGCAGAATTAAAATTTTAAAAATAAATTAAAATCTTCGTATAGTTTATGAGTCGTACTATTTAGGTTCAGTCTATGAATTAGATTTTAGACAATTTAAGTTTTAGGTTTAGGTATTATTAATTATACCTGTGCCCCCTGTTCCTCCTGTTCCTGGATACACTACTCCTCCTGGAATTGAGGGGGTTTTATTGAATGTATAATAAATTAGAAAGATAATTATTATATCATGGTCAAAAAAGAACGACAAAAGTTACAACAAAATACCCAACAAAAGCAAGCAAACCAAATGTACCTTGTTTCTGTAAACTTCGTCAGAAACATTTTTAGATTATAATTGTTAAGCGCTTATACAATTTTTTAAATTAAAATTAAATCAAATTCTTTATATGTTGTGTTGCTTTGTTTTTCTTTTATTTTGTTTGATTTTTGTTTTTGTTTTGTTTTGTACACAAGAAACATCTTATCAGAGGACTTTTTTTAAAAAAAAAAAAGAAAAGTTTTTTGTCGTTTAAAAATTTACCAGTTCATGCAATTATCACCAACAGAATTTGAAAGGTAATAATTTTGTTTCTATTTTGAAAAAAATCAGCATAAGAACACGCATAAAATAGTTGTCTTCTGAAAAATAGGAGATATATCTAGTTATGGAGAAGCTAAAAATTGGACCTTTTTCTAATAAACTTAATAAGTTGAGACTTAATCATTAATCGGATGTAGTGCGTTGATGCCAACAAGGCCATGTGCTTCTAAAGAAAGAAGATTGATTAATTGCATTTTGTTTTATGTCCCGTTCGAGAATTTTTCACTCATATAGAGACGTCACCATATACGGTGAATGGCTTCAAATTTAGACCTTTACTTGGCAAGTGTGCTTGCAGTATTAAAATTTAAAAAATAAATTCAAATCTTTATAACGTTTATAAGGCGTACTATTTAGGTTCAGTCTATGAATTAGATTTTAGACAATTTAAGTTTTAGGTTTAGGTATTAATAATTATACCTGTGCCCCCTGTTCCCCCTGTTCCTCCTGTTCCTGGATACACTACTCCTCCTGGAATTGAGGGGGTTTTATTGAATGTATAATAAATTAGAAAGATAATTATTATATCCTAGTCAAAAAAGAGCGACAAAAGTTACAACAAAATACCCAACAAAAGCAAGCAAACCAAATGTACATGTACCTTGTTTCTGAAAACTTCGTCAGAAACATTTTTAGATTATAATTAATAAGCGCTTATACAATTTTTTAAATTAAAGTTAAATCAAATTCTTTATATGTTGTGTTGCTTTGTTTTTCTTTTATTTTGTTTGATTTTTGTTTTTGTTTTGTTTTGTACACAAGAAACATCTTATCAGAGGACTTTTTAAAAAAAAAAAAGAAAAGTTTTTTGTCGTTTAAAAATTTACCAGTTCATGCAATTATCACCAACAGAATTTGAAAGGTAATAATTTTGTTTCTATTTTGAAAAAAATCAGCATAAGAACACGCATAAAATAGTTGTCTTCTGAAAAATAGGAGATATATTTAGTGATGGAGAAGCTAAAAATTGGACCTTTTTCTAATAAACTTAATAAGTTAAGACTTAATCATTAATCGGATGCAGTGCGTTGATGCCAACAAGGCCATGTGCTTCTAAAGAAAGAAGATTGATTGATTGATTGATTGCATTTTGTTTTACGCAGCTCTGTTAAGGCCGCAAATAGGGGGCGGGGCCTAATTTATACGGGAAAAGTTTACTGTGACATCACACAAATATAGCAATTCCTTACAATAACAGACAGTGAAATAATTTGCGAATCTAAACTGCATAAGAGTACTGAACTGCATCAAAACTAACCACTGCATTCATTTTTGTCGCTAGTTAAATCCCACACAGCAAGGTATAAACAAGTCACTGATCGCAATGCACTTGTCGACATGACGTCATCATGGTAAAGTTTGATGCATTTTATGTGCAGTGAGAGGCGGATCAAGTAATTTTTTAACAGTGAAAAATGCATTTTATTATTAAACAGAATATTATTTGAAAATCTTAGGTAGACCATTAATACAAATCTGAAACATTTGTTTAGTGTCATTATTTAAAAACTATCGAGAGAATGTATAGAATTAATTCTACCGTGTTTTTGTCTACAGGGTGTCCATGTTTCACGCCGAGGTGCCTCATTAAATCGCCTTTTCGCAAGGGCATACACTTAATAGATCTTGACTATTTTTTAAATACATATAATGGACATATTCCTTAACTTGAAAAGTGCTGCTGCTTTCCTGAAATCGATAGCATAACTTAATAAATACATAAAATACTTGGTAAAGGTCACACATATTTCGACATTAGCAAGATAACATAAAATTTAAACTAATAAAATGCGAATTCTATTTAAAGCAGCAGCACTTTTCATAAACTACAAGTTATGTAGAAACAATCTATTACTTTAATTTTTAATTTTAACTAGGGCATGCCCTTGCGATATTGAAATTTGTTTGTGACCTACATACAGTACACATTACATGCATTTATCACGTGACTTTCAAATAACGTGACCAAACCAAATTCAGTACAGAGCGAGGTATACAATGTTATTTCAAAGAATGTTAAAGTCATAAGATAATATAGTACCTTTACAAAATTAAAATTCATTTTAAAAAGGTATGTATTTATACACGTTTATATTCTGTTGATTTCTTCGAAGTACGCCTTAACAGTGCTGCGTATGTCCCGTTCGAGAATTTTTCACTCATATAGAGACGTCACCATATACGGTGAATGGCTTCAAATTTAGACCTTTACTTGGCAAGTGTGCTTGCAGTATTAAGATTTAAAAAATAAATTCAAATCTTTATAACGTTTATAAGGCGTACTATTTAGGTTCAGTCTATGAATTAGATTTTAGACAATGTAAGTTTTAGGTTTAGGTATTATTAATTATACCTGTGCCCCCTGTTCCCCCTGTTCCTCCTGTTCCTGGATACACTACTCCTCCTGGAATTGAGGGGGTTTTATTGAATGTATAATAAATTAGAAAGATAATTATTATATCATGATCAAAAAAGAGCGACAAAAGTTACAACAAAGTACCCGACAAAAGCAAGCAAACCAAATGTACCTTGTTTCTGTAAACTTCGTCAGAAACATTTTTAGATTATAATTGTTAAGCGCTTATACAATTTTTTAAATTAAAATTAAATCAAATTCTTTATATGTTGTGTTGCTTTGTTTTTCTTTTATTTTGTTTGATTTTTGTTTTTGTTTTGTTTTGTACACAAGAAACATCTTATCAGAGGACTTTTTAAAAAAAAAAAAGAAAAGTTTTTTGTCGTTTAAAAATTTACCAGTTCATGCAATTATCACCAACAGAATTTGAAAGGTAATAATTTTGTTTCTATTTTGAAAAAAATCAGCATAAGAACACGCATAAAATAGTTGTCTTCTGAAAAATAGGAGATATATTTAGTGATGGAGAAGCTAAAAATTGGACCTTTTTCTAATAAACTTAATAAGTTAAGACTTAATCATTAATCGGATGCAGTGCGTTGATGCCAACAAGGCCATGTGCTTCTAAAGAAAGAAGATTGATTGATTGATTGATTGCATTTTGTTTTACGCAGCTCTGTTAAGGCCGCAAATAGGGGGCGGGGCCTAATTTATACGGGAAAAGTTTACTGTGACATCACACAAATATAGCAATTCCTTACAATAACAGACAGTGAAATAATTTGCGAATCTAAACTGCATAAGAGTACTGAACTGCATCAAAACTAACCACTGCATTCATTTTTGTCGCTAGTTAAATCCCACACAGCAAGGTATAAACAAGTCACTGATCGCAATGCACTTGTCGACATGACGTCATCATGGTAAAGTTTGATGCATTTTATGTGCAGTGAGAGGCGGATCAAGTAATTTTTTAACAGTGAAAAATGCATTTTATTATTAAACAGAATATTATTTGAAAATCTTAGGTAGACCATTAATACAAATCTGAAACATTTGTTTAGTGTCATTATTTAAAAACTATCGAGAGAATGTATAGAATTAATTCTACCGTGTTTTTGTCTACAGGGTGTCCATGTTTCACGCCGAGGTGCCTCATTAAATCGCCTTTTCGCAAGGGCATACACTTAATAGATCTTGACTATTTTTTAAATACATATAATGGACATATTCCTTAACTTGAAAAGTGCTGCTGCTTTCCTGAAATCGATAGCATAACTTAATAAATACATAAAATACTTGGTAAAGGTCACACATATTTCGACATTAGCAAGATAACATAAAATTTAAACTAATAAAATGCGAATTCTATTTAAAGCAGCAGCACTTTTCATAAACTACAAGTTATGTAGAAACAATCTATTACTTTAATTTTTAATTTTAACTAGGGCATGCCCTTGCGATATTGAAATTTGTTTGTGACCTACATACAGTACACATTACATGCATTTATCACGTGACTTTCAAATAA